CTCACCTCAGCCTCCCAAAGGCACGGGATTACAGGCTGAGCCACCGAGCCCAGCTTAAATCAGATTCTTAAGTCTACAGTGAGAGTATACTCATTCACTTCACACATCTACAAGCATTCACACACCATGCACACATGCCCAAACACGTGTGTACATCTGGGGTATGCACTCACAGGTCACTTTCTTCCATCTCCATACCAGCTCATTGCCATTACTCACTGATTTGGGATCAGAAGGATAGTAATGTGGGCCTAGCCTTGGGCCCTCCCCGGTCGTGGTCCCAACACCCCGACAGGAGCGTGGCTCTCTCTGAGAGCCAGGCTGTCCCCCTCCCCCTGGGCGACACCACCACCCCTTATGAATGAACCATTACCTTCCCTAGGGTCCGAGGCCTACTGCACCTGTCCCGTCATTTCCTGGTATTTCCTCGTCACCTGCTGGGCTTTCTGGATGAGGTGGGTGAGGATATGATGGAGGCTGGAGAAGTGGAGGTGGAACTGGGCTTCCAGCTCCTCATCCTCGGCCTCCATTGCTGCAGCCTCGTTCTCAGCCTCGTGGGCTTTACCACCTGCCAGCTTGGCCTGCCACTCCTCCCGTGGCAGCAGCCCGTGGTCCACGTCCACACGGATGGTCTTCAGCATGGTGAAGTAGGTGTAGAGATCGGGGGCCCCCGCCCGGGCATGGCCCCCGGGTCCACTAAGCTGCACATCTCGCAGAAGGCTGGGGATCATCACCACCTGCTCCATGTTGCGCACCTCAGCAGAGTACCGGTCCATCACGGTCAGCAGGCAGTTCTTGGGATAGCGTTTGGTTAGCACCTGCATGGTTGCTTCCTCTTACACACTGAGCCCAGCAGACTGCCCCAGCGCTATTTCTAGGCTCTGGATCTGCCGGCGGATTGACAGGATGCCAAGGGCCAGCTGTTGGGTAACACAGCCCTGTTTTAGGCCAATCCCGGGACTCAGGCCCCAACGTCTGTGTCAGGCGATCCATCTGCCCACAGACAGATCTGCCAGCCTCCTGCTTGTCATTTCAGCTCTGCCTGACTGCCTCAGCAAGAACCTGGCTCTTCCTCCAACAGCTTGCAGGGCCAGTTGGAAGGAAAGTTTTCCCTTTGGCAACTGGTACACTTGACCCCAGGACAGTAGATAGTTCTTTCAGGTCACTTGAGATCAAGCTGCCTCTTTGCTTCCTGCTTAGGGGAGCCTCAAATGCAAATGCACAGCTTGCTTCTACAACATGGGGTGTCTCAGCTGTGAAATGAACAAGGGAAGAGGGTCATAAAATACAGCGGCTTGTTGTGGGGAAGAGAGCACTGGCATTGCAGCCAGTCCTGCAATTTCCCAGCTGAATTTTATGGCTCTTTTCTGGTTTACACTTACTGAGCACCTACTGCATATCAGGTTCTGTGCTGAGCTTTTCATGAGTGATCTCATCTCATCTTCACCATAACCCTGCATACATGTTTTATGTTTTTTTTTTGAGTTGGAGTCTCACTCTGTTGCCCAGACTGGAGTGCAGTGGCTGCTCCCGGCCACCGTAGCCTCGACCTGCTGGGCTCCGGCGATCCTTCCGCCTCAGCCTTCCAAGTAGCTGGAACTACAGGTGCGCGCTACCCTACCCGGCTCATTTTGATTTTTTTATTGTAGAGATGAGGTCTTGCCAAGTTGCCCAGGCGGGTCTCAAACCCGCGGGCTCAGGCAATCCACTCACCTCAGCCTCCCAAGGTGCAGGATTACAGGCTGAGTCACCGAGCCCAGCTGGTGTTTTGTTGTTGTTGTTTTGGGGTTTTTTGTTTGTTTGTTTGAGTTAGGGTCTTACTCCCAGACTGGAGTGCAGTGGCACGATCATGACCCACCACAGCCTCAAACTCCTGGGCTCAGGCAATCCTCCTACATCAGCCTCCTGAGTAACTGGGACTACAGGTCTGTGCCACCATGCCCAGCTAACTTTTTTTATTTTTATTTTTGTAGAGACACGATCTTGCCATGTTGCCCACGCTGGTCCCGAACAACTGGGCTCAAGCCATCCTACTGCCTCAGTCACCCCAAGTGCTGGGATTACAGGTGGGAGCCACTGTGCCTAGCTCTGCATAAGTGTTTTAATATTCCTATTTTACCAGTGAGGAAACTGAAGCACAAAAATAACTAAAAATAACTTGTCCAAGGTCCCACTGGAGCTAAGGTTCCAGCCCGGGACCACCTCTCTCCCACCTTCATGCAGTGCTCTGGACTGATGGGGGGGGAAAGTGGTTACATAAATTATACAAGTTAACCACCTCCAATCCTCTGTAAATCTGAGGTGGCGTTGCAAGGATCAAATAAGACAAAGCTACTTGGAAGGCTGAGGCGGAAGGATCGCTGGAGCCCAGCAGATCGAGGCTGTGGTGGCCAGGAGTGGCCACTGCACTCCAGTCTGGGCAACAGAGTGAGACTCCAACTCAAAAAAAAAAAAAAAAGACAAAGCCAATACAAATACTTTGTATCAGTCCAGACAAGCAAATAGGATTAAAAGAGAGGAAAACAAGTGCCTTGTAAACTACGAAGCACAATACCCAGATGTATTTATTATCTGTGAGGATTCTAGATTATTGCAAAGGCCTCTCCAACTCCAACCAGTAATTTCACAAGTAAAATGCTTCCACGTTGGCTTTGACCAGGAGCCTTGGAAGATGATAATTCTTTGCATAGCCATGTTGCCAATTTACAAACTGCACATGCTATATTTATTTAGGGACATTTAAGAAAATGAAGGCCCAAGGAGAGGCTCAAAGTTGCAAAGTCAAATGAGAACAAGACCTTCTGAGTTCTGGTTCAGGCACCTGCTCCCAACACCGCCTGGGGCAAAATGATCTGCTAGGGGCGATGGAACTTCCCCCTGTGGCAGAGTAGGAAAGAGGAAGAGTGAGCACCCGGGAGAGCTGAGGCTACCCAGGACCTCAGGCTTGTCTCACCTCAGCCACCTTCACCGCTCGCCAGGACGGGAGCCCTCTCTGCTCCCTGCCACCTGGCAGTCATTTACTCCTCCACTCCCTCCCACACCTATGGCCAGAGATATGAAAAAGCTCATCTTTTTTTTTTTTTTTTTTTTTGAGTCTGAGTCTCATTCTGTCGCCCAAGCTGGAGGGCAGTGGCACACTCGCGGCCACCGCAGCCTTGACCTGCTGGGCTCAGGTGATCCTTCCGCCTCAGCCTTCCAAGTAGCTGGAACCACAGGCATGTGCCACCACACCTGGCTGACTTTTTTGATTTATTATAGAGCCAAAGTCTCACCATGTTGCTCAGGCTAGTCTCAAACCCTGAGCTCAGGCAATCCTCCCACGTCTGCCTCCGCCAAAAAGCTCATCTTTATATTGAACTGAATTCGACCTCCCTATAACACCTAAATTCCAGGGTTACAGGCCTTAACTATTAACTATGCTTATATTGTGTGCAAAGGTGTTTCTCATCCTTTAACTCACTCAATCCCCACAAGAGTCCTGTGAGGATGAAAAACATGAGTATCCCCCTTTTTCTTTTCTTTTTTTTCTTTGAGACTGAGTCTTATTCTGTCACCCAGGCTGGAATGCAGTGGCAAAATCCTGGCTCACAGCCTTGCCCTCCTGGGCTCAGGCAATCCTCCTACCTCAGTCTCCCAAGTAGCTGGGGACTACAGGCATGCACTACCATGCCTGGATAATTTTTGTATTTTTTGTGGAGATGAGCTCTTGCTATATTGCCCAGGATAGTCTCGAACTCCTGGACTCAAGTGTTTCTCTCGCCTCAGTCTCCCAAAGTGCTGGGATTACAGACGTGAGCCACCGCACCTGGTGAGTATCCTCCTTTCCAGATGAAACTGAGACTCAGAAAAGCAGAGATACTTGCCCAAGGACTCACAGCTCAGACACGACAGGAGAAGGCTCAACCCAGCTCTGTTAGGCCTCAGAGGAAAATAAAGATTTGCTGTTGTTTTATTTTGTTTTATTTGTTTTTTTGTCATTACCAAAAAAAAAAAAAAAGAGGTGCCTAGCTTGGCAGAAGGCAGTAGTGTGGCCTCTGGTGTGGCAAGAGACTCAAGGGACCCAACTCTCGGGAGTTGTGTATAACAGCATATACTCAAAAAGGCTTCATGGACCTGACCATAAGGTGAAGTTTTTTCCAGAATTACTCCTTAGGGAAAAGGGGACTGTGCGTACTCATGTCCTCAGTCTTTATTCTATGCAGCGTTTTGCTTTTCTTCTACTTTACCATGAACAAAACTCTTAGAACAATAGTTTAGTCCAGTGTTACCTCAACCAGTCAGCAGGGGGAAGAATTTGCATCAAAATGTTTCCTAATCTATTAGTGGAAAAGACCAATTTTTCTTTCTTTTTTTTTTGAAATTTTTCAGAGATGGTTCTTACTATGTTGCTCAGGCTGGTCTCAAACTCCTGGCCTCAAGCATTCCTCCCACCTCAACCTCTCAAAGCACTGGGATTACAGGCTGAGCCACCGAGCCCAGCTGATTTTTCTAAATTATATGCTTACTTAAAGAATTTAACCTTGGCTGGATGTGGTGCCTCATGTCTGTAATCCCAGTGCTTTGAGAGGTGGAGGAGAGAGGATTGCATGATTTCACAGTTCAAGACCTGCCTGGGCAACATGATGAGACCTTGTCTTTACAACAAATCAAAAAACTAGCCGGGTGTGGTGGTGCATGTCTGTAGTTCCAGCTACTTGGAAGGCTGAGGCAGGATCACCTGAGCCCACCAGGTTGAGGCTGCAGTGGCTGTGAGCATGCTACTGCACTCCAGCCTGGGCAACAGAGTAAGACCCCAACTAAAAAAAAAAAGAATTTAACCTTAACAGATTACTTAAGTAGACAACTGATTAATTTATTTCTTGCCCTATCAAATTTTTTGTCTGCTTTTGATCTTTATTGGGAGAAAAAAATCTTAAAATGTTTTCTTTAGAAAATGGGGCTTCCCGGGTATTCAAACATCCAGGATTACTGAGTGATGGGTATAACCGGAGACCATGAGGCTGGACACTGTCATTTGAGTTCTGGTGTTTCCTTCAGGGTTACTGGTAAGCAGGCTCTGTGGGCTCCAGCGTCCATGCTATAAAGTGAAGAGTTGGCCGGGCTCGGTGGCTCAGTCTGTAATCCCAGTACTTTGGGAGGACAAGGTGAGCGGATTGCCTGAGCCCACGGGTTCGAGACCCGCCTGGGCAACTTGGCGAGACCTCATCTCTACAATAAATCAAAAAACTAACCGGGCGAGGTAGCGCGCGCCTGTAGTTCCAGCTACTTGGAAGGCTGAAGCGGAAGGATCGCCAGAGCCCAGCAGATCGAGGCTGCGGTGGCTGTGAGTGTGCCACTGCACTCCAACCTGGGCGGCAAGAGTGAGACTCCAACTCAAAAAAATAAATAAATAAATAAAGTGAAGAGTTTAGAGATTTGTGCAGGGAAAGCCCCTCCAGCCCTGCTTGTATAACTCCTGGCTCCAAGTCCAGGTCCCTAAGGGCATTACTCCCTGCCTTAGTTCTTACGTTTTGAACCTAGTCCCAGAGTCACCAACTCAGAACTGGAAAACATGATGTACTATTGCAGACCGGGCTGGGAGCACTGACTCCGGCATGGTGGGCAGGCCGGTAGGGCCCTGACAGCAGTTACCTCCTGCCTCTTTTCCCCGTGGCCTGGGGCAGCCCTGGCCTTCCTGGGCCTCACTTCTCCCATCTAGAAAACTGAGTGGGCTGATCTTGAAGTCCGCTCCTGCTAAGACTCTGGGGGACTTCTGAGCACACAATCCCTGTGCCTCCTTGTGTTATTCTCCCTCTGCGTATGCATTTGAATCCCATCTGAGGCCAGCCTCTTCCCAG